AACGGTGTCCCTACACTGTCCCTCCTCACTCAGGAACTTCTTCCTCTACTATTTTTCACCCTAACCAACAGGGTCTTGTCCTTGAGATAGCCATTCACAGAAAGTGCGCCAAACACAGCAAGGCACTCCTATGTAAAAGGATGCCCCACATAAGATGGCAGCATCAAACCGGACAGCTGCTTACCTGGAGACACCTACAGAGTCTACAATGACACAGTACCATCTACTGGATGGAAGACAAAATACACCTGTTTACAACATGCCTGCAGATTATGAGTTTTAAAAGGATTTCTCTGCCTTTTACAGAGGCAACAAAGCATTTTGTACTCATACAAATTAAAATATGTATAATTTTTTGTTTATGTGCATGTAAACATCTATCCAAGTGAGCAGAGTCAAGGAACGAAAAAGGAACAGTGACCATATTTGGTACTTTCCTGTTAATATGATACACATTGTTCTCATTTCTACAATTAACAACATCTGAATGTATGCCTTTTAAGTCCAAGCAGTTTTCCTGGAGCCTAAAGCCTTTAGAACAGGGGTCTCCAAACTTTCCAAACAAGGGGCCATTTTATTGTTCTTCAGACTTTAGGGGGGCTGGACTGTGGCCATCAAAAGTAGAAAATGTTCCTGCATCAGTTGGAGTAAACAATGCCCCATCTTTGGTGTCAGTGAGAGGAATTGTGCCCCATCATTGGTGTCATTGAGAGGAATTTTGCCCCATCATTGGTGAAATTGATAGGAATTGTGCCCCACCATTGGTCACATTGGAGGCATTGTGCCTGATCACTGGTATCATTGGAAAGAATTATGCCCCATTGTTGGCGCCATTGGGTAGAAATTTTGCCCCATCATTGGTGTCATTGGGCTCCATTGTTGGTGTCATTGGGAGGAACTGTACCCCATTGTTGGTGTCATTGAAAGGAATTGTGCCCCTTCGTTGGTGCCAGTGAATGAAATAGTGTCCCAAGGGCAAAAGGCAAACAAAAAGGCCGCATCCAGCCCTAGTGCTTTAAAGCACTGATTCTTGAAGAGCGAGACCACCTAAAACTAATACTTTAGTTGTAGTTGTAGCCTACTAGGCTTAGTCAGTCCCTGGCTTCCTAAAAAGATACGTCCATCTTTCTCAGCAAGTTTGGAAATTCAGTGTGCCTGTGCATGCTTCCCCCTCACCGCTGCATCATTCATTCACAGGTATCTGTAAATATAGGAATCCTATCTGCTACTGCGGTAGTGGAACTCCTACTTTTCAACACATTACAAGTGCGGTGGCATCATCACTGCATTTGCAGTCTATTGATATTTCCTTCAACCCAATGACTGATGTTCTGTATCTCAGTAAGGAACTGTGGCTGGAGGAATAGTCTGCAGGAGCCTGAAAATGGCACCTGTGATCCACTGATTACAGTTGCCATACTTTGCAGGTCCTAATTTAAAAAAATAAATAAATAAATACACATCTTTTAGTAACATATATGGGTGCATGTATTATTTTTGCAAAAGTTGGAATTTGCCTTTAATATTTGGATGCTCCAGAAGGAAATCTACTGGCCACAATTCACACATATGTTCTTGTGCACCTTGAGTTTTAAAAGAATACTATAAATGATAAGAAAATGGCAGGTGGTTTAGTTCTCTAATACCTTCTGAAGCCTAAATCTCAGTTTAACACGTCTCATGACTTATATACTGTGTGGCCACCCTTTAAAATGAATAATTTCTGTGTTTTCATGCCTGTAAGACATTCTGACTGTCCTTTACTAACCCCCTCCCACCGGAGCTAAGCTCTGCCCAAAGATGATGACAGTGCTTTTTACAACAGATGCAAGTCATTTATTCTGCTTAATAAATTTTGATTTCAGTGTCTGTAGTAGGAGGGGGCTAGGAGACCATAAGGCAAGTTGAATATGTCTTGCCACCATGACTGCCTGGGACAAAATACAAACACTGACTCATGTCAAGAGTGCCATAACCACTGCAGATGTTTGTCCAAATTAAACTGACTACTTAGATGTGGATGCATTTTTGAGGATTCAATGCTAATTAAAAGTAATGAGAATTTCCAGTGAGTGATTCCACATGCCCCTGAGATCCTTGCCTGTCCCCTATCCATGATAATCCTTCCTGGAGCTAAGTAGTTTTTGGTGGAATATAAATGAATCTTTTTATTTCAGATGCTTATAAATATTTCCTATTTTCACGCTTGTTATATTACTTTAGCTCATCATTCCTATCTGCAACATTGTGCTTTCCCCCAGGAATACTTACTCTTCATTCTGAAGTTCCTGTTTGAGTTTGGTTTTATCCCTGAAGCAGCCCAGCGAATGCATGCTGTCCAGGACATCTGGGTCAAACTCACTTACTGAGTGAATCCTTCTGATGGACACTTTTCGGGGAGTGGGTTGTTCAGGCTCAGGTTCATTTTTGCCACCCCTGTGTACAAAATATTAGTTAGTCATAAGGTTCAAGGCAGGTGACAACCGATTTCGGGTGCATTATACAAAATGTATGCTTAATAAGATTTCAAATATATCAACAATGAAAAACTTTAAAGAGAAACTTGTACTAAAATAAATAAAATGACTGTTGTTGCTAAAAAAAACAAATGTTAATTTCTTGTCATCCTTTGGCTCTAGTGCTTTTTCAGTCCTGATCTGAAACAAGCATGCAGCTAGTAAAGTAAAAAAAAAGAATTCCAAACAACTGACCTGCATGCTAGTTCTGAGACAGGGACCTAAAATATGAAGACCATTAAATCAACAGACAGAGCAGGCCAGGCAACCAGCATTTCCAGAAGGTACAGTCAGAAATGGTAGCCTACATAATTTGCACAGTGCAGATTTTTTCTATAAGTAAGCTGCCACTGATGACCTGTCCTTCTGAAAAAAAAACAATTGGCTGCCTCTAACTTTAATACTTTCAGTCATTAACTTGGCATAGGCATGCATTAAAAGTTTTGACTTCATTTTGCCTTCAGTGACCATGCATGTTGTGAATCAGTGACTCAAAGAGTATTGAGACTACACACGACTAGGTCAGCAATGGCAACCCTTCTATCTTTTATAATGGGCTTTTGTGATGACTTACACAAACTCATACATATGTAAAAGATGTAATAAAGGCATGGCTAAATCAAACAAATGTGGAAATTAAATTGAACATATCATTCATGTAGATATTTTAGATGAAGTCCCAATCTGTCCACCATCCTATTGTCTAAGCAAATATGTGACAACCTCACAAATTGGCAGGTTCACCAAACATATTTGCTCAACTACAACCAAAACTTTTTTTTTTTTTTAAGTAAAATAGTTTTCACAAATTATTACTCTTGTCTATGATGCTGCTGAATTAAAATGTACCTGTCTACCTTTATCTATGATAGTATGTCAGGAAATGAGATGAGCATATGTCACTGGGGCAGAAAGACACAGACACTTACACCCTTACAGAGGTTTTTTTCTCACTTGGTCACAGACTACAGTAAAAACCTGATAGGGGTTCTATAAGACCTATGAGAACCGCAACCTTTCTTTAGGCAGATTTCATTGCATGTACACACTTTTCATTCTAAATTACTTTGAGCCATGAACATACAGATGTCAAAAGAGAGCCTTTGACATGTTCCTGATTATTTCCCAGTGCTCACCAACACCTCTTTATATTGCTCCTATGGAGTTCCTTTTGACCTTTTCTAACCTTTGGTCTGTTTTTATATTCCCACTTATTTGTGTAGGGAGAAAAGCAGTTCTGACGCAAATAAATGTCTGTATACAGTAGGTCCTCTCAAAATAAGCCAATCAACCAATGTAGAGAAGACGACTACATTTATAAAAATATGACCATACACTGAAGCAAAAAAGTCACGTTATGTGAACCGCATCATGATATACACAGTAAAATCTAAAGTAAGAATTTCTTCAATTTGTTCATGCCATCAGTCAAATAGCAATATATCACACAGGGATATGGTAAAAACTCCCACCTTACAGAATGTACATTTGAATTTTTTTTTGCCAAAGGCAAAGCAAAAAAAGCTATCTTCCCCAATGGCATACAGCTGATGCAGTAATCTAGCAACACATTGCAGCCTCAGACTCAAGAGTGTAATAATAATCAGACCCAACTCTGATGGATATGTAAATTCTCATTTGCATTCTGCATGCAAATTTTTGTTCTTTCATCAAGTCCATATGTACAGTTCATGATTATTACTGTATGCAGTTATTAAATCAGTTCTCTAATAGCTCCACAAAACTACAAAAGCAACATAAAATTACTAAACCTTTTTCTACGTAATAATATGAGGTTTACTTAGCAATGCTGTGCAGAGAGCAGGGATTCTTCTGGTAAGACTGGGCAGCTGCCTATATTCTGCAGATGCAAGCTCTACCAAAATAGAGCAAGAAAGGGCAGCCTTAAATTGGTTGTAAATGTTCATTTTTTTAAATTAAAATAACATATTTCATACTTACCTGCTCTGTGCAGTGGTTTTGCACAGAGCAGCCCCAATCCTCCTCTTCTGAGGTACCCGTCAGCATTCCTTGCTCCCCCTCCCCCACGGGTGCCCCATAGCAAGCAACTTGCTATGGGGGCACTTGTGCATGCTCATTCCTGAACTGGCTCTGTGTGTCAATAAGGCACACAGAGCATGGCTCCCTGTTCCCTCCTCACTGGCTGTGACTGACAATAGCAGGGGCCAATGGCTCCCATTACTGTGTCTCAGCCAATGAGGATAGAGAGAGCTGAGAGAGCTTCTTTAAATTTTAGGGCCAAGTGATATTTTTTCAAATGATTTGTGATCATTTTCCAGACTGTCTGTCATTTGATATATTTTGCAGTCTGCCTTTCATCCCACACCCATAGTTCCCCCTTTTCCTTATGACTTGCATGGCTATACATGACATGAAAAGTCTTAAAAGGGAGGAAGACCACAGTGCAAAGCAACAAAGCAAGGCGTAATGCTTTACTCATAGTTTTCTATCCTTGGCTGAATTGCCCCTCTGCCTGGAGAAGCAATGGAAAATAGGAAGCAATAGTCCCATCCCTGCAGTAGTGTGTGAGTCACTACACCTTAAAGTGTTACTAAACCCAGGACCCTGCATTCATAAAATCCGATCTCCCATAGTACACAGAACACGGAAGTGCAATTATTTTAGTAAATATAAACTGCTAAATACCTTTTCTCATCAGACATTAGAGCAGTCTTGTGACTTCTATCAGTGTCCAGCAGAGTACATGGTAAAGGTGAGTTTTCTGCTCTAGGAGGATGCAGAATCCCTGACCTCTGTCTGGACAGTGCTTATTGACCCTGTGCTGATCACATGCACTCTCACCTCTCTAGCAATACACACCAAATTGAGCATGTGCAGAGTGACTCCACACAAATGTCTTATCAAGAGATAAGAGGAGGAAGAAGGGGAGGATCAGAGAAGTCAGGATCAAACAGCGTTTTTACACAATGCAGAGGATTAACCCATTAGGTTCCAAAGTGAGCATAATAAGCATGCTTTACTGCATATATAGACTTATTTTACTTTTGTGGGTTTAGTAACACTTTAATATCCCTTCTTATAAACCACCAATACATATATATATACTGAACCATTCGGTTTGGTGCACCCATTTAAATTTTTTTGCTGTAGTGTGAGTGAGCCTTAAAGGCCCATATCGGAAAGACAAGGTCTTTCCACCTGCCACTGACTCCTGTCCTGTCAATGGCTACAGAGTGATGGCTTAGAGCGCCATCTCTCCCCCTTTTACAGTGCATAACTCTTTACCATCTTCAACTCATAAGCTAAGAGGAAAGTTTCCGTACACATTGTAAGGCCTTACGCATTGTGGTTCCAGGCCAGTTCCCTAGGACCAGTTCTGTTCCACAGCAGGGCCCGACTGCTCGGAAGGACAAATCATACCTACCAGTCCATCGCTTCTACAGAACTTCCGTGTCCTGGCCTCCACTGCTTCCACTCACAGCTGCTCCTCTTTCCCATAGTTCCACTCCTTCATTACCAAATACACACGTTCTACTGCCTGAAGAGTTAACTTGTCTCGGTACCATGTACCCCATACTCATTCACGGGTAACAATAACATTAACATAATGTCTCCTGACATTTCAAGGAAACTTTTTGGTTAACTATGTGGAAGTTGCCATTACTGCTGCATTTGTAAAAGGAGCAGGCTATGTGGCTATTCTGCTCCTATCTTCCATATCTGGTGATTTTCTAACCTAGAGCATACAGGGTTTGAGTTTGTACATTTCAGGCTTCATCGACTGCCTGCATCCTTTAATACAAGTCACCAGTGGCAGTGCTCAAATTTCTATTCCTACAGGTTCTATTTTATTTGTGCCAGGTCACATAAAATCATTCTCTATGGTTAGAGGTGTTTGTTAATCAGTGCACCAGGTTTGTGCACTAATTAAATTAAATAGAGTTTGCAGCACCAAGGTCAATTGTTCAAATTCCAACCTTGACATACATGGCATTGGAATGTTTTCCCTGTGCTTTCATGGGCTTCTGCCAGATACACTAGTTTCCTCCCACATGCTGGTAGGTTAATTGTTTCCTGTCTAAATTGGCCCAAGTATGTGAATGTAGGAATGTGCAGTAGGGACATTAGATTTTAAGCTCCTTGAAGGAAGGGACTAATGTGAATGTACAATAAATGGAAAGTGCTGTGTAAATTGTTGTAATACCTGAAATAAATAAGATAATTAAAATAAAATAAATTAGGACCCTGATGGGTAGAAACAGGGATCCCTGGTCTAAAAATTCTCAGGCTCGGGATTACGCGTGCTCTCAGAATACTGGGTGTAATGCCTATGAAATGTGTTGGCCTTGAACCCTTTGTTTCTTGGGTAATTTTTACAATAAAGCATCATTGTCCAAATGACAGGAGCATGAGAGATGACTGATGTCATTTGTCTAAGCCAAAGGAACAGAGTCCCAAGACATTCTGCTTAGAGCAAGATAAAAATTTGTTTATGGAAATTGAACGTGTTTATGACATCTCGTATGTCACATTAGAAAATAAAAACCTGTTTAAAGATGTCTACTTGCTTGAGAAGTTAGAAATCTTTAAGTTTAGGGTAGATGAGAAGAAGTTTGGGGTAGATGAGAAGATGTTTAGGGTAGATAAGAAGCAAAAATGTGAATTTTCAGATAACGATGTGGGATCAATATGGTGGTTGAACATGACTCTGTTATCCTCACGGAACCCTTCTGCTAGCTCCTCCTGTGGTGGGTGTGGTGCCTACCCACTATTGGAAAGCTTCCAGAAAAATGGTTTAAAAATCCAGAGGTCCAAGCGAGATCAATTAATGTAAGCCATTCCATGTGAGGGAACACTCTGACGCTTGGATTTTTGCCAAGGCTATATGGGCTCATCAATTGGTTGCGCTTACGGCTTCCCCTTGACCCCCTGGGCAGTATGGTTCCAATGGGATTTATTCCTTCCAGCTTCTAACATAGCTTTGGTAATGTATTAATTCTATGCTGTGACACTGTCAAATGATGTGTCTATTTCATGCTGTAATGCTCACATTATTATTGGTGTGTGTTATTATGCAGATTGTGATGACTATAAGATATATCCTCCTGTGTGTCGTGTGAACATAAAAGTGGAGATTTTGACAGTGCAAGAATATTGCAGTTGGATTCTGTTATTTCTTGGAGTGTCGGGTAAATGCTATGATGTGACAGGGCAGGTGTTCATTTGGTAGATGGTCTTTCACATGCATAGAATATGTAATGGTTTAAATACGGATTAAAACGTACCTGCATGACTACATGTTGTTTGTATGCGTGTATATGACTTTTTTTAGTTATTGCACCTAGCATTTACCGTTACACTGAGGTAGAGGAAACCAGAGGGCTCTACAAAACCATGTAGCCTTAGTGAAGTCAAACACTGTCAAGGTGAAAACCAATGCCCCAGGATAGGTAGGGTATGTCCCCATTTAAAAGAACAAAACGAAACCAGCGCTCAAACTTCATGCAGACTAAAGAAAATTCTGAATGCCAAAACGTTGAGGTGCAGCCCTTCAGAGATCGGGAAATCTAGGTAATGGTGAACAAAAACAAACAAGGGCGCAATCCCATCGTGCATTAACGTGGTACACCACGTATTTATTGAAAAATAGTAGAAATATAATCACAAAACCAAAAAGGTTAAAAACAGAACAGGTAATCCGTAAGGGCGACACCTATATGGGATAGTCTAACGCGTTTTGGGAAAACGAGCCGTGAGGAATGTCCCCCATTTGCACTTTCATGCTACAGTTAGCTTAAATGAAGTATACAGAGTTAAACAGCAGAATGCAAAATATAGAGTATTATACCATTTTTTCTTGGCATCAATGACTTTGGCTTTGCTTCTTTGTTTAGTGAAAGGTTTGCACACTTAAAGGACAGTTATATGTAACTCACAGCAATGCTCTCCGGCCTTTCAGCATTAGAAAAATGGAACGTTATTAACAGCATCTACTGACAACAGAAAAGTGGTGCCTGTAATCTTTATTAACTCTTTCATAGACAATGATGGTCTGGGAAAGCTGACCAATATGAACAGCCTATCAGCCTTAACCTCTAAGGTCAGTGATTATTGACCAATAATTACACAGCTTGATTGCACTGCAAGTCATACCGCTCAGTGCTACAAAATGCTCCGTTCCCTAATAATTACACACCTCATCGTGTGTTTATTGTAGCAATAACTTTCGGAGAAACAAATGAGAACGTTATTGGAAAGTGATAAAACAAGGTGGCAAGAATGAGCCATTTATTCCAGCTGTATGAGTCAGTCCTTAAATCAGAAGGCAAACCTAGAGCTCAATATGGTCACTTAACGTTTTCAGATTGGGAACGTTCCTGAGCCGATTTCACACAAAGCTCTATTGTTCCTATAAATATTCTTGTGCTGTTTTACAGACATAAATTAGGTCAGCATTATTTGTTTTTTTTTTTTAACCTGAAAGGTATTTTGAAGTATTCCAGACACAGCACAAATCTAATTATACCCCAAAGAATCACCTATGCGTACAAGCATCAAAGGAACATGAAAATAAAAGTCCTGATTTTTATTAAAGAAGGGGATTTCCAACCAAGAACTTAAAGGAAACCTATGCTAAGAAGAATATATAGGCGACTATTGCTGACCTCTTTATGAAAATAGTAGTCTCCAGCGTTATTACCTTGAGCCACTGACCTAGAACAAGCATGCGATACAAGGGAGCCAGAATGAAGTCAGTTGTCTCAGTCTACACTTACTCTAGCTCCAGGTTGGTGAGCTAAAAAATATTATATTTATTTATTTCAGGTACTTATATAGCACCGTCAATTTGCGCAGCGCTTTACATACAGTTGTGTTCAAAATAATAGCAGTCAGACATCACTAACCTGATCAATCACTGTTTTTGGTAGAAATTATATTTCTACATGACAAATAATTTACTAGCAGGTGTAGTAGAGTAATAGAAATCCAACAGACCCAACAGTCATGACATGCATGCTGCTGATTCTGTGTAATTGAATGACTAAATGAAAGGGGCATGTTCAAAATAATAGCAGTGTGGAGTTCTATTAGTGAGGTCATTCATTCTTTGAAAAACAGGTGGCAATTATTGCCCTTATTTAAGGAAGGAAGGCATCAAATGTTGTACATGCTGGTTACAGTGCATTTCTCTCTGAAATTCTGAGGAAAATGGGTTGTTCCAGACATTGTTCAGAAGAACAGCGTACCTTGATTAAAAAGTTGATTGGAGAGGGGAAAACATATAAAGAAGTGCAGAAAATGATAGGCTGCTCAGCTAAAATGATCACAAATGCTTTAAAATGGCAACCAAAATCTGAAAGACGTGGAAGAAAGCGAAAAACTACCATTCGAATGGACAGAAGAATAGCCAAAATGGCAAGGACTCAGCCAACAATCAGCTCCAGGAAGATCAAAGAAGGTGTAAAGTTCCCTGTGAGTACTGTTACAATTAGAAGATGCCTATGTGAAGCCAAGCTATCTGCAAGAAGCCCCCGCAAAGTCCCACTGTTGAAAAAAAGACATGCTGAAGAGTTTACAATTTGCCAAAGAGCACATTGACTGGC